CATATACCCGATAATTTTGACTAGATCATCCCAGACTTATTATTTAATAAATCATAATTCAGCTTCATCTTCTCGTAAAGTCGAAAGTCCACAATCAACACCTTATTAAAACAAATATAATAAATTAAGCAGATATATGTTAAATTTTGTGCTCTCTATTCATCACAAAACAAATTCCAAATCCATCCGCACTGCTGTTTTATTTGGCTTTTGCAGCTGGTGTGTACATTCTCAAATAAGACAGCTGTAGAGAACGCTCCAAGTCAGCCAACTGCGCCACAGCTCCAGACAGTTGTACTGCATGGCCTTGATAGAGTGATCCTATAAAAAATCAACAGATAATATCATTTCATTAGCAATACGGCAATTGAGTAACTAAAAAAATGGTATATTTACCCAATAATGCCTCACCTAAAACACATTTCTATCACCCCGCTGAACTCAGTTCTAAATCAACGCTCTATCTCACTAACAAGATGGCTTAGCTTATCAAGTACGCCGAATTTGATTTCATTCAAACGGATACGACACGATCGCAAAACTGTACCTTTTGTGGAGCGTTTCGAGCCATACACCACCTTACCGTCGAACTCATCTACTGGCACGACCATATCGGTATCGATCTGCGCGATTGTCACACCCAAATGCTCTTCGATATCCTCCAACAGCTTAAACAAACGGCTTGTTTAAGAAACAATGAATTTAGTGACTATAATAAAAACAATAATATTTAGTAACGTTGAATGAAGAATCATTGAAGTTTTTTATAATAAAAGCAATAATATTTAGTAACATTGAATAAAAAATCATAGAAATAAACCAATTACCTTCGGTTCGTCATACCAAATCGCACATCCACGTTGTGTGACCAGTGCCGTATTGTTGCAGTGCAGACCGCGGGATGGACACTTGTGGTACCATACTTTTTCAGGATGCGCGGACACTAATGAAATCGCTAGACCCATTCTGAAATTATCACTATCATTTCAGGATTCTTACAATTCATAAAGGACTTAAACTTTGTTGTGTCATCATAACATGGTAGATAGGATTAACTTCACAAAAAATGCCATTCGCCAAAACTAACCATTC